ACTAATCTGTTTTCTATGTAGATTTGTCTAGTCTGGACATTGCATAGAAGTGGGATTATGCAATATTTGTTTTCAAGGTACACAGTGTTTTCAAGATTCACTCAGGTATCCAAACTTCATTTATCTTTATAGCTACATAATATGCCATCGTATGTATAAGATATATACCACATTTTTCTTGAACCATTCTTCTTTGATGGGCATTTGGATTGTTTCCATCTATTGACTGTTGAGAGCAGTGCTACATGGACATAATATGCCATTGTATGTGTAAGATGTTGGGGTCCAAGTATCTGTTTGAGTCCTTGCTTTCTGTTCTTTGGAGTATCTAGTGCTGCACAACATTGAGAATATAATCAATACCACTGTGTACTTTAAATTGTTAAAATAAAAAAACTTTACATTATATGTATTTTGCCACAATTTTAAAACTATTTCATAAAGGAAGGAACGAAGGAGAGACAGGAGGGAGGAAAAAAGGGAGAAAGGAAGAAGAGAAGAAGCCAGTCCTAGTTGCACCAATAATTGGACCCATTCCTGAAATGTTATCCAGCAGGATGAATCAAGGAATCATCAAAATAAAATTTTCCACTTGCTGCAGTAATTAGAAAGGGATAGCTGAACTATTAGTAAAAACTTGGGTTGAAAAATGCAGTCATTTATACAGAACAAGGGAACACTGAATGGTTTAAAATTAGGAAAAGTATGTGCCAGGGTTGTATTCTTTCATCATACTTATTCAATCTGTATATTGAGCTAATAATCTGAGACCTGGACTATATGAAGAAGAACATTAGGATTGGAGGAAAGCTCATTAACAACCCGAGATATGCAGATAACACAACCTTGCTTCCTGGAAGCAAACACTTACTTGGAATACTGATTGTTTTCAATGTAAAGAAAACAAAAATACTCATGACTTGACCAGTAAATAACATCATGATAAATGGAGGAAAGATTGCCTTTCCTTGCTTGCTGGAAGCAAAGAGGACTTGAAATGCTTATTTATGAAGATTAAAGGCTGTAGGCTTCAGTATGAATTGCCCCTCAATGTATAGAAAATGAAAATCCTACAACTGGACCAATAAATTGCATCATGGTAAACTGAGGAAAGATTGAAATTGTCAGACTTCATTTTGCTTGGCTCCATAGTTAACACTCATGGAAGCAGCAGCCAAGAAATAAAAAACAAAATAAAATATATTACAGTAGGCAAATCTGATGTAAAAGACATCTTTAAAGTGTTAAAGAGCAAAGATGTCACTTTGAGGACTAAGGTGTGCCATGGAGTTTCCATTTTCCTCATATGCATGTGAAAGCTGGACAGTGAATAAGGAAAACAGAATTGGTGCATTTGAATTATGATGTTGGCAAAGAATATTGAAAGTACCTTCTGGACTGCCAGAGGAGCAAACAAATACGTCTTGGAATAAATACAGTCAGAATGCCCCTTAAAAGCAAAGATGATGAGGCTTTGTCTCATGTGTTTTGGACATGTTATCAGGGAAGACCAGTTCCTGGAAAAGAGCATCATGATTAGTAGAATGTCAATGATAAAAGAGATGGTGTGACACAGTGGTGACACATTGGCAGTAACAGTGGGCTTACGCATAACAATTATGAGGATGGTACAGGATTTAATTGTTTTCTTCTATTGCGGTTAGGGTCACTATGAGTCTCGAGGTGGACTCCATGACATCTAACAATAATGACGGCATGCTTATTCTATGTGTAACTTTTTGAGTAACTTTTAATTTTTTTTTTCTTATTTCACAATTCAAATCCTCCAAGGCTGGAAAGAGGTTTTCTACAATTTTTTTTTTTTCTCTAAATTTTATAAAGATAGAAAGCTTCTGCAAATCAGAGTATAACTTACAAAATAATTCCCACAGAAAAAGAAAACTCCTAACGGTGTTACGAACCCTGGTGTAGTGCTGTAGAATAAACACTGGACTGTTAAAACGAAAGGTCGGCAGCTCAAACCCACCAACTACTCTTGGAAACCCTATACAGTGTTGTTATGTGTTGGAACCAACTCAAAAGTATGCAACAACAACAATGGTTCTAAAAAAAAAAGTACTGGAGGACTTGAAAAACTTTAAAGCAATGATCTTAAAGATTTTTATATTTTTATTTTAAAAA